TAAGTGCAAAGATGTGTTAATCAAACACGTCCCGGAATTCGTAGTTCCAATAATTTCCAGATAAAATAAGTTTTTTAATTATATTTTCATGTGAAATGCTATTGCAATATATAAGTCGTGATATTATACAGAAAATTTGAGAAAATATTAACTTCAAATCTGTGTCCAAGCACCTTTAAGAGCAATTTTCTGTAAACACTTGAATTTTTTTTTGGAACGCATGGTCACTGATTTTCATGAAACTTTGCTCATTATAATAGTTACAATTATGATAGTTTGACAACAGAATTTTAAATCAATCAAAGTTTGGTTGCTATGTGCCTTAGTTGTCATGGTAACAGATAAGATGATTTCAACAAAGTTAAGATTTTCGGCTATTTTGAATCTTTATTGGCCCTTCACAAGCACTTAGAAAACCAAATTGGCCATTATCATATGAAAAAAAAACAGTAAACCTTGTTGTCACTTATTATGTACAGTGTAAAGAAAGTTTTTCGAATATATCTCTATATAAGTGGTAACCATGGCTACACTACACTCGGCATACATTTTTTATGCAGAAAAGTGCCCAGTATTTTCTTATTATGGGAGTTACATGACTTAACTCAATTGCCAGTGATAAAGAAACAATAAAAATAGTTTTCCTTACGAAAATTATTGATTGATTGTATGTTGTTTAACATCCCATTTGAGAATTTTTCACTCATATAGAGACATCACCATATACCGTTGAAGGGCTTCAAATTTTGACCTTTACTCGGAACACAGGGCCATTGAGCAGTGAGGGATCTTTAACGTGCTAACGTCTGCCGTGACACGGGGCCTCGGTTTTTAAGGTCTCATCCGAAGGACCTGCAACTTTCACTTCAAAGTTGCCGAGCGCATGGAGAAGGAACAGTTGCTACCCATTTTTTATCGACTTAGGTCAGTCGCGGCCGAGATTCGAACTCACGACCTCCCGATTACGGAGCCAACTGAGCTACCTTGAACGGTCTCCTTATGAAAAGATGTAAGTTATAGCAATATTATTCTAACAATTAAAATATCGGCTGCCATGATAACACATCATTTGTGCCATTGTTATAACCCAGCAAAAAAGATTGGGGTATAAAGGAATCACTGTCTGTCTGTCTCTGTATTCTTTTGTCTGTGCAATCATGATGGGTTCATATAACTTTGTAATGGAGAAAGATTGCAAGTTCATTCTTGATAAAACGATTGTTTATAATCTTGAGGTTGAATTTTGACTTTGTTTAACCCAAGGTCATTTCAACTAGTTCAAGGTCGTTGGCAGTAAATAGTGTAAGATTCGTGTCTGGTCTATAACCTTCTTATGAAGGCACATCGGATATTGATACTTCATACAGAAATTGTTTACGACATGTAGATGTGTCATGTTCTTCATTCAATGTCAGATGATGAAGTTCAAAGTCCTTTATGGAAAAATGTATAATTCATGTCCTGACCACATTTCGTCATGGAGATATGATAATTCTAGCAAGTGAAGACCACTAGCAGAAAAAAAAAAGTTAATTATGTGCCTGGTCTAATTTTCTAATGGAAAGTATTGGATGTAAATACGTCAAAGAAAAATTGATTATGACCTTAAAGTATGTCATGATTTTGACGTAAGGTCATTTGATCAAGTTCAAAGTCAATTTTGAAAAATGTATACATAGTGTCCCGTCTACATTTTGAAATGATTAAACATTGGAAGCCCATACCTGACACAAATATTGCTAAGACTCAGGGATGTGTCTTCATATTTATTCAAGGACATTCTGGCAAGGTCAAGGTGGCTACCAGGAAAAGTGTCAAGTTCATTTCTAGTACATAGCTCTTAATTGAAAAACATTGAACATTCATTGTTCACAAAAAATATTACATATTACCTTTAGGTATGATGTTGCCTTGGTTCAAAGTCATTCCGGCAATGTCCGATGTCACTTTCGGTTAAAAGAGCAGATATATCAGGACCACTGATATTCTCCTTATCAATTTGTATCAACATGTATAATTTTGGAATGTTAAATTGGGGGACATTAATAGGCTGTTCCACGTCACTTTGGTGAATAATCCAAACCATACCTTGCAAAAGTTGTGTCCCTTTCAGCTTTGTGGGTCAACCAAAAGGTCAAAAGAGAAAAAAAACGACCAAACATTTGGGCGTGCTCCGATGCATCCACTGTGTTCAAATTCTTTTCCTTCAATGTATGGGTAGCCTTATCCTGTGGCGATCAACACAGAAGCAAAATTTTTTTCTAGTCAAATGACAAAGTTACAAACCAGAAAACTACATAGCCTACTGTGAGGGTTCTATGCATATTCCCCAAAGATGGCGGCCAAGGGACATAAGTTTTGAAAGTGTGGATTCAAGTGTTTGATTTATATAAAAGTGTTGTGCTTTGCATGCACTATGCCTAAATAGTAGTCAGGGTTTGACACATGGTGCACGAGCCGGAGGTGCATGCAAACCACAACACTATTGTTATTATTATGCTGACTGTTGTATAAAAGTAACAAGAGATGTTTGTAAAACACTTATGCCCCCCCCCCCCCCCCCCCCCCCAAATAATTGGAATTTTTCTACGTCCAAGGGGCATAACTCTGACAGAAATTGCTCGATCGTACCCAAAACAGAACTTGACCTATATATTCTTATGGTAAATCTGTATACCAAATTTCATTTCAGTATGTGCAACCTCTGCGAAAAAAAAAAATGAACAAAAACACTGCAAATAATTGGAATTTTTCTAAGTCCAAGGAGCATAACTGTCAAAAATTGCTTGATCTACCCAAAACAGAACTTGACCTAGATATTCTTATCATACATCTGTATACCAAATTTCATTTCAGTATGTGCAATCTCTGCAAAGAAAATGAACAGAAACTGTTGGTGGACCAACAGACAGACAAACCAACTGACCGACAGATAGCAGCAAAGCAATATGCCCCCCCCCCTTCTTCGAAGGGAGTTTAACAATATTTTTTTCGATTTCCAACGTCTTTTACTAGTTAACATGTTGGTACACCCCTTTTATGATGTTGCTGTGTGCTACTATTACGTCATAATTTTGAGTGTTCCATGCAGACTTTAGATATAATGTACAGAAAGTTTCAAAGAATTTTAATTGAATAAAGGGATAAAAAAATTCTAAGAATCTATTTTTTTTTTTTTTAATTGTTTTGTTTTCTTTTTAGTGTCAAATATTTGAAACTACGGTCATTTACATTAAAATACAGTGTTTGATAACGGCGTCATGTCGGTATCACGTCGGACTGACAATCTTGTTATCATGAGTTTGATCTTTGTCGTCGGTTTCCAGCAATACAGAAAAAGACAGTTGTAGATCAGACATGAATTTTACACTTTTAACTGCTAGTGACCTTGAACTAGCTGAAATGACCTTGGGTAAAAGTCAAGATACACCCTCAGATTATTAACAATTTTTCTATCAAGAATGAACTTATAATGTTTCTACATTACAAAGCATTACAGAGTTATGACCCGGACATGTATGCACAAATTAAAGGACACAGAGACAGACAGACAGGTGATTCCTTTATAACCCATATCTTTATTTTCTGGGTTATAACAAACTGTGGTACTATGCTGTGTCATCTTGGCAACTGATATTTTCATTGTTAGAATAATATTGCTAAAACCTTTTTTATAAGGTCAAGTATTTTGATTTTTTATCACTGGAGACCGAGTTGAGTCATGTAACTCCCATAATAAAGTAGCTGAAAATCTAAATTTTGTTGAAATCATCCTGTCTGTTACCATGACAACTAAGGCACACAGCAACCAAACTTTGATATAAAATTATATTGTCAAACTATTATATATGTAACCATTATAATGAGCAAAGTTTCATGAAAATCGGTGACTATGCATGCCAAAAATAAGCCTGTGGTTACAGAAAATTGCTCTTAACTCTCCATAACATATTTTGGTTCTTATGTGCTCAAATGTTGTTGCCATGGGTTAAAAGTATAAAAATGGATTTAAATTATAAAAATGTACTTTGTTAAGACATCTATTACAAAATCAAATTTGATTAATTGCAATATGCTACCAAACTGTGGATTAATATTTTACAATTGTTCATAAATATGTGCCAAAAGTGACTTTATTTGCTTTGTTGCTATGGAGAATTTGCTGTTGCCAAGGAGATAAGTATCTTTACAATATTTCTTGGTTTGCAAAATTGTCTCGGATATATTTTCTTACTTTAAACTGTGTTTTTGTACTCTCAGATTACAATTTATTAGATTAATAATTTTCACATTGTACAATTTTCCATTTTTATTTATCAAAACATCCATTTTTGTTGCTAGGCAACGGATTGGAATTTTCAAAAAACACACCTTTTTGAATTGAAAGTCCAAAAGAGACATTCCTCTGCTTTTATGCGAAATATTTACAACTCCTGTATTACGCCAGAAGTTAGTTATAAGGCCTTGAAAAGTACCAAAATCAACAAAAATGCTGAATCAGCAAAAAACACAAAACATGCATATTTACCCATGTCTAGTACAGATATATCTCAAATTCCTATTTCTATGTAATGCATTGTGAAAACACTTTAAATGTTTATCTTTACGATAAGAATAAATAAGAAGAAATTCTTAAATATTCACAATCAATTTCAAGCCCAAAAGATTAGTGATTTTTTTGTCCATACACATGGAAAATAGACTGGTTGCTAGGGAAAATTCTTTTGTCATGTTTCCATAGTAACCATGACCCAAAACTTTTTTCACTTTGTATACATGGTTTTTAGCGCAAGACAAATCCATGTGTTGAAAATCATCAAATTCTGACAACCCTCATGATTCACCTTTTGCCTGATTCTTACAGAGACTTGTACTTAAGTTCCATTTTGATAATATTCTGTCAGTAGCGATATCACTAGAACTTGTTGAAGTACGAGGGTGTCCGATGCATGGTGAATTCACCCTACATGTTTTTGTTACAGAATTATCAGGCTCTTTACCTTTAATTGGGGGTATTTCTTCATCTTCTGATTCTGATGCCTCTCCTGAAATAGATACAGCATTCACTGGGTCCTCACTTAGCAGTCTGGCATCCTGGATATAAACAGTTACATAAAATCAATTATTCTAGCAATTCTTTGTAGGAAAAGTATATGAATTATATAATACATGTATATATATAAGAGGCTCATGAGCCACATCAATAGTCTGAGGACATTGGCTTGGAAAAAGCAGAAATCAGTGAAGATTAAACATATATGGAATCATAAATACCCCCCCCCCCTTTTCCTTGGGAAGGGGGGGGGGGCATGGTTTGTTCACACTTGAATCTACATTAACTAAGGGTGCTTTCATATTTGACTAATTATGACTTTAGAAGATTTTTTCAATATTTTTTTCCTATAGGTTTGATCTTCTATTGAGGCCCAGCCCTATAGAAGATAAAACATGATTTGAATCAACTTGAATGTACACTACCTGAGGATGCTTCTGAATTAATATGACTAATCATGGCTTTACTGTTCTTGAGAAGGAGATCTTTAATGATTTTTCCTATATATTTCTTTGTATTACTTTGATCCCCTGTTATGGCCCCTTTCTACTTTTGGGTCATATTGATTTGAACAAATTTGAATCTAATTATCTAAGGATACTTCTGTATCAAGTTCAACTTTGACTACCCATTTTGGCCCGACCCAACCCACAGGGGTCATGATTTGATCAAAATTGAATCTACAATATTTAAGGAAGCTATGCTTGAGTTTCATCTTTTTTGGCACAGTGAGTCTCAAGAAGAAGATTTTTAAATGTCCCCAAATTGTTTTCAGGAATTTGTTTTCACTCCATTTTAGTTCAAATATACTGATCCCTCACAACTCTTAACTATACTGACCCCTCACAACTCTTGACATGACATGGAATTCTTATTAGTATAGATTGAGCATTCTAACAATAAAATGACATTATCGTGTATTAAATGGCGTGTAAATTTGAAGCCAAAAAAGTAAAGAAAGTGTGCTGATTTATTTCATTGTTTGGATTATTTTTTAGGCATATGGAAGTTCCAAAAGGTTTGTGATGATTAATTTGGTATTTCATTCTATTGCAACTCCTTTGTATTCTTCAGAAGTGTTTCAGAGAGGATCCACTCCGTTTTGCTTCATTGCAACGTACTTTAACGGTATAATATAGCCTTAGGGCGTATTCTTACTGGTGCAGTCTTGCCATGTCCAACTAGTATTTGTAAACAAAAAAAAGGCAAACACTGAATTTTACAATCGAGCTACAGACTAACAGAGACATGTAAACAAGTCACCATCTTCTCTTCATATTCTGCTGATTCCTCATCATCGTCCGACTCCGAAGCTTCTCCATCTACTATCGTTCTTATTGCTGGCTCCATTGAGAAAACGCCTTCGCGGCGGCCTTGTTTACATCGAAAACGAAAGTAGTTATAAACACAAACTGGTTTGGTAATCGACATTTATCCGGTTCAAGCATAAGCTTGTCAAAATAAATAAATGAAAACAATAATAACAAATGACGAAACAAAAACGTTTACGCTACAAAAACATTATTCGTAGGGAATCGAAAGCAGTCCTGGAAAATTGAGTATAGAGTATACACTAGACAAAATTGCTAAGCACCACTTAAGGAAATTAATTTATTTTACTTTTCAGAGCTTGTTTATGATGCATGAATATGTTACCAAAGTAGTAAAAAAATGAGGCATTTTAATGTCTTAAGGTATGTCACTCGTGAAATAAGTTATATCAAGGATTTTTCTGTTTTTGAGAAGTATATTTAAATAGTTTTGAAGTTAAAGGTTCTGAATGAACTTTTCTTAAAAGCTAACGAGTTGCATTCCTTATCTGATAAATAATTTTATTATATATTTGTTATATAATACAGGACTTTTGCATCCCTGATATGAACACAGGCACGCGCCCTGTATTACACACCCTGTATCAGCACCCTTTATTTCACCCTTTATCACACCCTTTATTACACCTTTCCGGAACATCTCTGTATTTTTCATTTGGAGTATCTCGGATCTTTTTCTATTTGTTAATGAAGTTTATTTAAATTGTAATTTTACTTCATCAGATATCTTATGCTATTCAAAGTAATGATTTGTTTAATTTATAATTATTTCATTTCTTATCGCTGAATGCATTGCCTTTGGGGGAAAAATGAGAAACGGAAATTCAACAAAAACAGAACACATTCGATTAATTAAAAAATGGTAATTAATTTACAAGTTTATATAAGATTTTTAGACACTATTTTCAAATATATAATAAAAACAACAATACATGACAAAATCTGTATCACACCCCATATCAACCCTCGACCAATATCAGCCCTCTGGCCTTCGGCCCTCGGGCTGATATTGGAGTCTCGGGTTGATATGGGGTGTGATACAGATTTTGCCATGTATTATTCTCTATATAATGTACACTTTTTGGAGGAATGCATTTCTTTTTTTTTCTGTGTGTTTATGTTCTTTATTTTTTTCTATTTAAAAACTCAAAAAAAAAAAAAAAAAAAAAAAAAAAAAATTGCACCGTGTGCGGCGTTTGACCCTGGTCCTATATGGAGGGTAATCGTGTTAAAAAATTCAGACTTGTAAGTTTGTAAATCCAAACTTGTAAGTTTGTAAATCCAAAATTGTAATCGTATCAGTTTCATAGTCTACATATGTAAGTAGGTAATTCCGACATCCTAGCATGTAGTTCCGAACATACAACTGTGTCTACAAATGTAAAGTCTACATGATTGTCGAATTTTGAGAGTGGGGTCTGTCAGCTAACATCCGCAACTGTACTCGGCAATGCTTGTACCCAGAGACATATAACATGTCTCTGTGGTACCGGACATCCATGACTGTACCTGCTCACTAATATCAAAAACGGAATGTCAGAGCAAGATTTTCCGGATTGTTAAACGTATTTAACTATGGATTGTTTTTTAATGAAAAATACGAATATGGAGGAAAGAAAATTTCTGATTCAAATAAATCTACTTAATGGAAGGCTGTAATCGCCAAAAGGTAACGATAACTGGCTTAGTGAATATATCGAGGAAAATATAATTATGTAAACTTGACTATGCCTAAATCCATTGTATGGATCGCTATAATCTCTAAATAGTAACATTTACTACAGCGTACATTTTGTATATCTATGACTGTACATGGCCGTAGGAACCGGGGGGGGGGGGGGGGCGGCACGGTTGATAGTGCCCCTCAACTAAAAATGTATGGCTGTGCCCCCCCCCCCCCAACTGAAATTGCTTCCTACGGGCCTGCTGTATACCTGTGCCTGATATACAACATCTGCGACTGTACCTGTGCCGTACATACACACTGTACCACTGACTCAACCCGCGCTTGATTAATAACATCCACGACACGAAATTCTGTGGATTTTCTCCGATTTAGATTTAGACTGAATTCAATCAAAGCGCAATTAACGCTAATCTTTGTACATGTATTACCCATGACAGTGATACCGAGACAAACAATGTCAGCAGTGATTAGGGAAGGATCCAAAACTTTTACAGATATAAAATTAAAGCTTAAAACTTTATGTTCAGAGAACAATATGAGCCAGGTCTTTAATTTTTTTTTTTTTTTTGGTTGGGGAGGGGGGGGGGATGATTTTAATTTCCTACGTGCTCAATAATAATTGTGAATTTAAAATGAAACATGCTAGTATAATTATTGAAAATATACGAGTAAACAATAAACAAAGTAAAATAAAAAAGGAAATTAAAATAAATATTGGAATTAATTTGTAATCCTTCATTTTATGTAAGAAAGTATAAGTACGTCACAATATTATTAATTTCACCCATTTCATTGATCACGCAAGTGGTGTCAATGAAAAACACAGGTTTTTTCCCATAAATATATGTCTTACAATAAATACGGGTGGAATGAGCTGATCCACGCGTTTTCAATGTGTTATATATAATAAACATCTCAAGTGCACCCCAGAAAGTAGCCTCCTATGCCCTGAAAAAGAAAGGTTCCTGACAAAAAACCTTTATTTATTTACAAAATACTTAAAATTTACTAGGCTCAGGTACCAAAGTTGTAAAAATAGGCTGGAAGAACAACCCCCACCCCCCCCCCCCCACCCCCAAAAAAAATAAAAATTCTCAAAAGAAATAAAAATTAGTTTTATATGCATGGCACAATTAATATCTTGACTGGTCGATAACCGTGGTGTGATACCTGAAATATGCAGGGTATGGTATTAAAATAATTGATCATATTAAAGGAAATTACTGCTATAATTATCGATAACATCCGAAGAAAATATTTGTATAAGTAAATATTTTTATTAGATCCACCTCTCTAAGATTCTGCTATCAATTGTCTGGAATTAATCTATAGGGAATATCGGTGAATAGCACTAATAGCACTTTATTGAGTTCAGCTCAAAGAAAATCGTAGAGAATTTCTTGGGATGCAACATCCACAACTGTACCTGTCCTGACAACTCTAGAAATTTTACATCATGACTGTACCGATGCCTGATTGACAACATCCACGACTGTACCTGTCCAATACACACACTTCATTCTACATCCTTGACTGTACCTGTGCTTATAAACAACATCCATGACTGTACCTGGCCAGTACACACACTTTATTCTACATCCATGACTGTACCTGTGCCTTAAAAAAACATCCACGACTGTACCTGTGCATATATACATACTTTATTCTACATCCCTGACTGTACCTGTGCCTTATAAACAACATCCAGGACTGTACCTGTGCAGTATACACATCTTACTCTACATCCCTGACTGTACCTGTGCCTTATAAACAACATCCACAACTGTACCTGTGCAGTATACATATCTTACTCTACATCCCTGACTGTACCTGTGCCTTATAAACAACATCCACGACTGTACCTGTCCAGTACACACACTTTATTCTACATCCCTGACTGTACCTGTGCCTTATAAACAACATCCACGACTGTACCTGTCCAGTACACACACTTCATTCTACATCCATGACTGTACCTGTGCTTATAAACAACATCCATGACTGTACCTGGCCAGTACACACACTTTATTCTACATCCATGACTGTACCTGTGCCTTAAAAAAAACATCCACGACTGTACCTGTGCATATATACATACTTTATTCCACATCCCTGACTGTACCTGTGCCTTATAAACAACATCCAGGACTGTACCTGTGCAGTATACACATCTTACTCTACATCCCTGACTGTACCTGTGCCTTATAAACAACATCCACAACTGTACCTGTGCAGTATACATATCTTACTCTACATCCCTGACTGTACCTGTGCCTTATTAACAACATCCACGACTGTAACTGTCCAGTACACACATTTTATTCTACATCCCTGACTGTACCTGTGCCTTATAAACAACATCCACGACTGTACCTGTCCAGTACACACACTTTATTCTACATCCCTGACTGTACCTGTGCCTTATAAACAACATCCACGACTGTACCTGTCCAGTACACACACTTTTTTCTACTTTCCTGACCGTACCTGTGCCTTATAAACAACATCCACGACTGTACCTGTCCAGTACACACACTTTATTCTACATCCCTGACTGTACCTGTGCCTTATAAACAACATCCACGACTGTACTTGTCCAGTACACACACATTATTCTACATCCCGACTGTACCTGTGCCTTATAAACAACATCCACAACTGTACCTGTCCAGTACACACACTTTTTTCTACATCCCTGACTGTACCTGTGCCTTATAAACAACATCCACGACTGTACTTGTCCAGTACAAACACTTTGTTCTACATCCCTGACTGTACCTGTGCCTTATAAACAACATCCACAACTGTACCTGTGCAGTATACACATCTTACTCTACATCCCTGACTGTACCTGTGCCTTATGAACAACATCCACGACTGTACCTGTCCAGTACACACACTTCATTCTACATCCCTGACTGTACCTGTGCCTTATAAACAACATCCACGACTGTACCTGTCCAGTACACACACATTATTCTACATCCCTGACTGTACCTGTGCCTTATAAACAACATCCACAACTGTACCTGTCCAGTACACACACATTATTCTACATCCCTGACTGTACCTGTGCCTTATAAACAACATCCACGACTGTACCTGTCCATTACACACACTTTATTCTACATCCCTGACTGTATACCTGTGCCTTATAAACAACATCCACGACTGTACCTGTCCAGTACACACACTTTATTCTACATCCCTGACTGTACCTGTGCTTATAAACAACATCCACGACTGTACCTGTCCAGTACACACACTTTATTCTACATCCCTGACTGTACCTGTGCTTATAAACAACATCCACGACTGCACTTGTGCATGTATACACACTTTATTCTACATCTATGA